TAACTGGATATTTCTTTGTCCCAATCTTCGCTTTTACTCCTTAGAGATAGGTGATACTATAATACTCATTGTTATTTGATAGATAGTTATGAATTTAAGCAAACAAGGATTGTTACAAATGAAAGAATATTAATGGTAATCTGAACACATAATGCTCAATGACAGCGAAATATCCAGTTATGTATAATGTAAACCAGTGATGTTAATCCTAAATTTAAGAATTGATGCACAAAAACCTGTAACCAAACGACTTGCTTGATGAAATGGAGGAAAGTTGTTCTTTCCCCCCCCTCTTGCTTTGTTTTTGTATGTGTTGTTTTGTTTAAAAAGAATAAAAATATATTTTTTTAAAAAAAAGATAATCAAAGATTCCAGTCACCTGATAATTGCTTCTTGGAATCTTGGATCTACTACACTTGTTTTCCATCTTTTACTCAAAGAAGCGGATGGTCCGTCTGTTATTTCACTAAGTGCTGGACACAGCATGGGAAGCCGTAAACTCAGTGGCTGGCAGATTTGAAGCAGAGAAAATAAATGCTGATTATCTCGTTGCCTACGCAGTGATCAATTTAATTAGCCTTTGTCCTAAGCTCACCCACTAGCAATAGGACAGATATGACCACATCAGGCAAGAAAGATGGATTGATAATGCAAAATTTGGAAAGCTCCGTGGAGATGATTCCATTTTACTTTTCATTATTACAACATTGGCCATGAATGTGTTCTATTGGTATTCGGGAAATTTGGTTGTCAATTAGATTTGATGTGGAATGATGTGTTGTGAATGTAGCTGGTCTATGACTGTAATGAACTGAATTAAATTGTGTTGTGAATGGTCTTCCATTGATCATCAGCCCTTATTGTTATCAGGAACTACATGATTACAGTGAGATGTGCAACACTTGGCTTTTATTATAATCAGCTAACACAGCTGATTATACTTTAAAGTATACTTTAAAGAAGAGGTCCTCAACCCTGTCCATGGATTGACACCAGGCTACAACATGCAAGAAACTGGGCCGCGCAGCAGTGGTGGGTTTCAAAAATTGTTNCACTGGTGGAACCTCTTCTAACCGGTTCGGTAGATTTGACGAACCGGTTCTACCGAATAGGTGCGAACTGGTAGGAACCCACCTCTGGACATGGTCATCCAGGAGGCAGGGAGTTCTGTGCTAGAGGTTTCCCAACATTTCCAAATTCTACATTTCACAAGCCATGCAAACTGCAACTAAAATGAATGTAAACATTTGGAGAGATAGAGAGAGAGAAGAAAAAAACCTCTCCCATTATATATCCATCTGTGACTCCTATACAGGTAGTCCTCAACATATAGCCATTCATTTAGTGACTTTTTGAAATTACAAAGGCACTGAAAAAGTCAACTTACGGATATCCGCTCCTCGGACTTACGACTTCCTCATGTCACATGGTCAAAATTTGGATACTTGGCCACTGGTTGCTCTTTCCAACAGTTGCTGCATCCTGGGGTGAATGCGATTGTCATTTGCAATTTTCCCAGCTGGCTTCCAACAATCAAGGATAATAGAGGAAGCCAGATTTGTTTAATGACCGCATGATTCACTTAAGAACAGCAGTGATTCACTTAACAACCATTGCAGAAAAGGTGATAAAATTGGGAGCAACTTATTTAACAACCCCTTCTTTCGCAACAGAAATTCTGGCTTCAATTGTGGTTATTTGTGAAGGACTACCTGTAACTCTTGCATTGATTATTCATAATTTTTATATAGCGGCTTCAATCTTATCCAAAAAACTTGCAAAATGGAGTTTGCAGCCAAAGAACGGACCACTTTTCTCTTGGTTTCCTATATTGTTGACCTTTTCCCACAAGTATTCGTCTTCTTCAAAGCAACAGTAATATAAGAAACAACCGTAATCTGCCTCCCCGTATGATCCCTCTAACTCTTAAGGAGCTGCTTTTGAATAAAAGAAAAGGTCAAGGATAATCCTCCCAATTTTTCATTCGAGAAAAAGTTGTAAATCATAGATGGGACTTGTTCAAAACAATCTGGTTCCCAATTGGCTTATCCTGCACCATCCATGTGTTAAATCCAAACTTGACAACTCTAAGAGTATAAAGGCTTTCAACTTTAACACTGGGTAATTTTGGGGAACTTTTAAGACTGAAGAATTCTGGGAATTGAAGTCCACAAGTCTTAAAATTGCCAAGTTTGAAAAATCCTGCATTAAATGATTGGATGGAGTACCAATGGGTTACTCAGTGCTCTGTATGATGAGGAGATAGGAAACCAGAGCCTGCTCTTTATTCTGCTGAATTGTTGGTTAATGCAAATGTGCATTTACAATCCCAGCTTATTGGTTTGATTGGATTGGAGAATTAACACATGGCATTTTTGTTGTTCAGGTCGCTGACCAACTCTTCACAACCCCATGGACTTAGCACATAGCACAACATNTTGCAGGAGACAATTAGTTCACTTAATTGGTCCGTGACTCTCCGAGACTCCTTGCCAAGTTTTGCAGATATTGGTCTGGCAACTCTCCAAGCCAGATAAGGTCTGTGACTGTAAATCCTCCCTTGAAAGATTTTGTTGGATCTGAAGGAGCAGAATTCACAGTCAATTAATAAAAGGGGTTTTTGTCGGGACCAGGAGTTTGCTGCCTGCTCTTGGGAACACCAGTTTGCAGCAGCATTGGGACAAGGCATGTAAAGGAGGGACTTATGGAATGACATGGCTGCAGGACAGGGCTTCCCATATCTTTTTTATTATTATTAACATTTTAAATCCCACCTTTATTCCTTTATAAATAACTCAAACATTCCTAATATAACTTCCTCCTACTATTTTCCCCACAACAACCCTGGGACTGAGAGTGACAGATCCAAGTTCACCCAGCCAGATTTCATTCCTAAAATGGGATTAGATCTCACTGTTGCCTGCTGAATGGCCCAAACTCACCCAGCAGGCTTTCATGCCTAAGATAAAAGTATAGAATTCACACTCTCCTGGTTTCTAGCCTGAAGCCTTAATCACTGGACCAAACTGGCTTGTCTTTTTAAAGATCATGTACACTTTGCTGCACACACGGCTAGAAGTGAGCTTTTCCGAGAGCTGCCCACTCCCTCACTAGCCTTTTAAAAGGCCATCAAAATCTGAGATTTCCAGCAGGCTTTAGGGGTAAAAATGTGAACTGTTCCCTCTGGTAATTGGAGAAGAGGGAGGCTGGATCGAAGTAGTATCCTTTTATTTATCTCTGGCACCAAACTGTGTTGCATCATGCTTATTATAGATATTGTCTACCGATACTATCTTGTTTTAACCTTATTTACACAACTACAGAGTGTAAGCCGCTCTTGAGTCAGTTATCAACTGGAGTGGCACAGAAGCCCTTTAAATAAGTAAACAAAATCTCCAAAGATCTTCTATTGGTCAAGACAAGTGCTTTCTGCTTCATGTCATATATTTACTTGAAGAAAGCTAGCTGGGATGGGGGGGAATACCAGATAGGAAGGTAAAGAAGTAATATAAAGCAATGGATCGGTTAGAGACCTTGGGTCAGGGTATTTTTAGCGTGAGAAAGGACATCTGTTCATATGACAATTGTACATTTCCGTTAATAACATACAAGATAAAAGGATTGTTAATCCTTCATTCTTAAGCCTTTATCTCTTTTTTACTTGTGAAAGTTGGTCCTGAGATTTTAAGGAATGTATTGACTTTGATGCTATTACTACTCATGTTTGGAAACTGCAATTAGGACTGTTGTCTAGTGGACTTTAGTAGGCAAAAACCAGACCAGCATTGCTGCAACAGTATTTATTGACTCAAAAAATGGAACTGATACTGAAACTGAAACTGAAACTGATACTGAAACTGATACTGATACTGATACTCTACACAGGGCCTTAACCAATTGTAGAACTAGAAAAAGCCCATCCAAATATAAATGTTCTAATTTTCCCTCCAAAANAAGGAAGGAAAGAAAAAGAGAAAGGAAGGAAGGAAAAAAGAGAAGAGAGGAAAGAGAGGAAGAGAGGAAAGAGAGAAAGAAAGGAAAGAGAGAAGGAAGAGAAAGGAAGGAGACTATGACACCCTGTGACTACAACTCCCAGCATCTCCAGCGGTCGGTTGTTCCTGGCAGTCGCCCTCCTGCCGTGTTTGAGAGACCCCCATGGGGGTGCGGCGCCAGCGACCCCCCCCCCACCCGCCGCAGACCCTTCCCCGCCCTCCCGCACCGTTGAGGGAAGCAGTGACGACCAGGCCTCCCCGGCTCGCCTGGCCCATCAGCGACTCCCGGCACAGCAGAGGCCGCCTCGAATCCAAGGACAGGATCTTCGTGGGGCCCGGCGGGACCTCCAGCACCAGAGGCTTCCGCGGAGCCGGCACTATGTGCGCGGCGGCCGCCAGGTAAGGCGCCAACGGGCCGCAACGGGCGGACAGCGACAACATGGCGGCGTTCAGCTTCTCCTCCTCACGGCGGTCACCTTCCGCGACCGCCGGACGCAAGCGACGCACGCCGAGCGGTGACGCAGGACGCGCGCCGGCAGAGAAGCCACGCCCACCGCTCTTCTCTTTGGAGAGACGAGATTGGGCCGGGATCGGGGAGGAATCGAGGGGGCGGAGCTAACATCACTTTCGGGCGGTATGGGAAGTGCGCCTGCGCGCGGGACTTGCCGCTAATTGGCCGGCTTTAGCTACTGAACTGGGAATAAAACTACCTTTTTAAAATAGTTTTGGTTCCTAATTTTGGTTAGACATTTTTTACGTAGGTAATTACGAGATAATATGAAATCTTGCCTGAAATAGGTAAAATGTCTTTTACAAGTCTCAACAATAATTTAAAACAATGACATATTGATAACAGCAATTGAAAAGGAATAAATGTTTGGTAGCAAATGCTGGTTACATTGATATTTTGTATAAATATTTAATTTCTATTTTATGTATGTTTTCCTCTTGCACACGAGAAGATCTGTACGTTTGATTCGCGATAGACGATCAGTTTTATTTTAATTGTATTTATGATACTGTATTCTGCAGCCCGTTTTATGCATATGTGTCGAAAGTTAGGAGATGCAAACCTGCTAAGCAAAAGATACTTTATTCATGGTGGTTAAGAGTATATATCCATAGGCATGTATGACATGGTCAGTGGTGGGTTTCAAAAATTGTTCCAACCTACTCTGTGGGTGTGGCCTCCTTTGTGGGAGTGGCTTGCCGCCCATGTGACCGGATGGGAGTGNCATCTAAAGGTTAGTTTCACTTTAGCACAGTTAACAGTTAGGGTCCTCTAAAGGTTAGTTTCATTTTAGTACTGTTAACACAACTATATACATCCAATACATAACAAGGACCAAATAGATCATCACTGAATTAGCCCTGATTGGTGTATTATCAATAACATTTAATTATGTCAGGGTGCACCGACATTTTTATCTCAGCTAGTCCCTAGATGAAGAATATATACATGCGGTGAATTATATATATTTAAATATTTAAATGTATGCCATGATGGGATGTTTGCAAGCAAGCAAGCAATCTATCTTCCTGTAATTACTGTGAAATTTGCATGTGACAGCTCTTTAGGACAAAGGGGCAAAATTGAAGATGTTGAATTATTCACTTCTTGAAGTCCTACTGCCAGAAAGGGATAATACTTGTTAAAATGTTGAATGGTGCGTTGACATTTAAACCCCTTTCAAAAGAGAAAGATCAACTGCCCCATTGACACAAGGTCTTTTGTGGGCATCAGCCTAGGAATGAAACCTCTGACTTTCCACAACTGGAAATTTCCAGAGTTCTGAATCAACACGGAAGTGTAAGTTGCAATCAGGCTAGAAACTTCAGCTAGACATAAGGAGATCACAAGACACAGCATGAAGCTCAGTAGGGAGCCCTATCACGTAAAAATTCTAAAAAGCAATTGCTGGTGTATCACATGGTGTCCCACCCCAAATCCATAAAATTATTTCAAACAATAAAGCCCGCCTCCCAACTTCCAGTTCTTGGCCATTCTTGGGAAATCAGTTTTCCATTTTTCCATTGTCCCAGGATTAGATGAAATCAGTGGTGGGATTCAAAACATTTTACTACTGGTTCTGTGGCTTTGTGGGTGTGGTGTGGCTTTGTGGGTGTGGCTTTGTGGGCATGGCAGGGGAAGGAGACTGCAAAATCCCCATTCTCTCACCACCCCACTAACCTGCCTTCCAGCTCCATTCTCCTGGCGCTATCCCGCCAGGCCTGGGGGTAAAGACCATAGTTTGCCCCCGCCCGAATGTTGAATGAATGTTGTTTGATCTTAANGGAGGAATAGATGGATGGATGCGTGCATGGATGGATGCATGGAGGGAGGGAGGGAGGAATGGATGGATGGATGTATAGATGCATGGAGGGAGGGATGCATGGAGGGAGGGAGGGAGGAATGGATGGATGGATGTATAGATGCATGGAGGGAGGGATGGATGGTTGGAGGGAGGGAGGGAGGAATGGCTGGATGGATGTGTGCATGCATTGATGCATGGAGGGAGGGAGGAAGGGGTGGAATGTGTACCTTTCTACTGATAATACAATCCCCTTTTCACATTGTGCAACAGCTCCATATTCTTACACTTTTATTGTCTGTTAATGGTTTTGGCATATCTTAGAAGTAAACCTAGCCTTAAATTCACCAGTTTTTTTTTCACAATCTTCTCTATGCTCCTTTACTTTTAATAATGGTTTACAATGCTGAGATAGGCAATTGTTGTGAGCCAAGGACTACACGGCATTTTTCTGGTATGTTGTTTGCACGCACCCCAAAAATGAGAAGAATCGTAGTCGTTATAAAAATGATGAAAAAAGTATCCTATATTAGGAAACGTAGTATTATAGTAAAAAAAGATGGTTCCGTAGTCAAAAATTGGGTTGCAAATTACTTCGCTTTTGGGCTGATCTTATTTTCAAGGGTTCCTTGGTGCTCTCTGAGCTTGCTTATTTTCTTGCAGACGTTTCATTACCATAACTAGGTGACATCATCAGTGCTAGTGCTAGGACGGTGCTAGTACCGATGATGTTACCTAATTGAGTAATGAAATGTCTGCAAGAAAACAAGCAAGCTCATAGACCACCAAGAACACCTCATTTCAACCCTGAGCGACAAATATTCTCTTCTTTTCAAGCTTTGAAAATCTCCTCCCTCTCCATCCACATCCTTCCTGATTTCCACCCAAAGTTTTACTCTTGATACTTCCCTTTGCAGTTGTCAACAATTAACACAGGTGAGAATTTAACGCATTGATATCTTCATTAGTCTAGGGCTTTCCAGTGCAATAGTCTATGATAATTAAATAATATATACCCCTTGGAGCTGGCCATGGTGCTAATGAACAAATTACTTGGTACACAGGTATGCAGAATATAACATTAATCAATACCCTTGTCTAGAAGCTTCAACTTAGAAATACAGCAATAAAACGTAAATGAAATGTAGTGGGATTTGGTGGTTTTAATTAAATGGAATGATTAATTGATCATTCAAATTGTATTGATTTACAGCTTTTTTTTTTCAAAAAAAAAAAAAAAATTCCCTGCAATCTAATTTGTCTAATACAGGCTCGGATAAGTAACGATTTGTACTTTGAATGTTAACACACAAACACACACACACAGACACACACACAGACACACACACAGAGACACACACAAGTGCAGAACATTTCAGCTTCCTAGTAACAATTACTAGAGGGCTAGAGCTTTGAAGCAGGTTCGACAGAAACGTACAAGGAGCGTCCAGTCTACCGTTTTATGATATTGCATAAAAATAAAGCAACTTGCTGTACTAGCTGTATTCTTTTGTGTATTTCATTTTTATCACGGTGCATTGTTACCGATTCCAACGCACGGCTGAAATGAGAAACACCTGGCATTTATACAACAGCTAATAAAACACCCACTTTTACAAGGGAGGATGAAAATATGAAAATATCTCCATACTTTTTCTGCCAGAATTGCTCCATCCTCTAGAATTCACCCCTCCNTACTGCTTCCCTTTTTGCCTTTCAGCTCCACCCTATCTATCTATCTATCTATCTATCTATCTATCTATCTATCTATCTATCTATCTATCTATCTATCTCCAGTGGTTTGGCCCAGTTTGGGAGAACCACTTGTTAAATTGCTGGCTGGCTGTTCCCCTTCCTGCCCAACCCCTTCCTGGAGTCCCCACATGCCCCATTTTTGCTCCCAGGAGTATGTAGGGAGACCTACTAGATCCAAAATGAGGTGCAGGTGGGTGCCACCCCCATGGCCTGATTTTGCTCCTGGGGGGGGGGGTGCAGGAGGCTGTCACATGCTCTGCCCATGCTCACTATAGCCAGAAGGTCACAATAGGGGATACCATTATCCCAAGACACTGCAACCGTCATAAATATGAGTCCGTTGCTAAGCGTCTGAATTTTGATCACATGATCACAGAGATGCTGCAACGGTTGTGTGAAAAATGGTCATAACCTGCTTTTTTCAATGCCGTTGTATCTTTGAACAGTCATTAAATGAATTATAGTAAGTCGAATTCGACCTGGGTTAATTAGATTCTATGGTGGCCATTCAATAAGAGTTCTGCTGCTTGTAGAATACGGCTAACTCTCATTGCTAAAAATAGTTTGATGCTTCAAGGAACCATCCACCCCATTTTCCTTTAAAGATTGTTCCGTGTGTGCTTTTGATAAATAATATTTCCTGCCAGTGCCAATGGCTCATCAAGATAATGCGAGTCAAGACACCAACTTGGATGATAGATAGATATCACGGATATTATTGAAGGTTAGTACTATGGGTTTCATTGGGGAAAAAGAAATAAGCGAGATATCACATAAAAGAACTTGACAGATGCTTAAAAAATGGCACAGGGCATCTTCATTTTCAAATGCTACAGCATGATACATGGCAAAGCTATTTCTAGAAAAAGCAAAAAAAAAAAAAGTCTGCATGCTTCTATTTTCCATTAAATTCTGATGTATAAAGATGCAGGGTTTTGTTTTTGTTTTGTTTTTACAGATCTACAGTGGTTGTCAAATGTTGGGTAACATTTTCAGACTGCAAGCGGTTAATTCCAAAATCCCATCTCACTTCTGATTAGTAAGACTCGTCAAGAAGAAACACAAAGGAGAACCCAAAATTTGGACAAATCTTGTAGTTTCAAATGAGAAAGTATTCCACCCAAAATTATTGCTGTGAGATAGGTGACCTTATAAATTATTTAAAGAAAGAAATAAACAAGGGGGAGAGAAAGGTGGATGGATGGATGGTTGGAGGGATGGATGGATGAGTGTTTGGATGGATGGATGGATGGATGGATGGGTGTTTGGACAGATGGATAGAGGGAGGGAGGGAGGGAGGGAGGGATAGTTTTGGTTGGTTGGAGGGAGGGATGGATGGATGGAGGAATGGCTGGATGGATGCATAGATGCATGGAGGGATGGATGGTTGGATGGAGGGAGGGAGGGAGGAATGGCT